TCTGTCTCATGCTGGGCCCGGGTTGGCTGTGGAAAGAGTGAGTAAGGGTGAGTGGTGGGCAGCTCTGCATGGATATTCCTGCTCACACCACAGCCAAACAGCTTATTTTCTCCTCATTTTGTTATTTTTCTCCCTCTGGCCTGGAGGGGAAGACTGAGCCAGCCTGGGGCCATGGGATGGGGTTGGGGGGGGGGGGAAGCGGAGAGCTGGACCCTAGGGTATTTGCAGACCCACTGACAGGGTTTTTCCAAGGTGCGTGTGACAGGGTGTGTGCGGTGTCAGCATGTTGACCCCCCCCCGCCCCCCCCATGCCATCTCAGTCCTCTCAGCTTTTCCACTATCCCCAGGATATTTCAGGATCAGTTCCTCCTGCACTTATGAAGACTGACCTTATGTCCAGGGTCCCTGCCAGCTTCAAGTCATCCCCCCCCAAAAAAAAACCCCAAAACCAGGCGTGTGTGTGACACCTAAAGATCAGAAGTAGGTGGGAACTAGAGCATCAAGCACATTCCTAAGGACACTGTCCTATGGCTGCTGCCCTGAGCAGCTTCAGGAGACTCTTTCTAGGCACAGCTATTTTTCTTCCCAGGATCTCTTCACGCTGGCCCTGAAGGAGGACAGCATGCATAGCACAGGTGATCATCATAATAAATGAATTGGGCCTATGCGGTGCTTTGCTGATCCTACAGCTCTTTCATTTTTTTTTTTTTTAATGATGAGGGTAGAACAGTAAAAGCTCTACTAGTAAGCCAGGTGCTAGTAGCTCATGCTTGCAACCCTAGCTACTCAGGAGGCTGAGATCAGAGAATCAAATTTTGAAGCCAGCCTGTGCAGGAAAGTCTGTGAGACTTTTATCTCCAATTAACCAGAAAAGAAAAAAGCTTGAAGCAGAGCTGTGGCTGAAGTGATAGAGCACTATCCTTGAGCAAAACTGCTAAAGGACAGTACCCAGGCCCTGAATTAAAACCCTAATACTGGTACACAGAAAGAGGGGGGGGGAGAGGGAGAGGGAGAGGGAGGGAGAAGGAAGGAAGGAAGGGGGGGGGAAGGGAGGAAAGGAGGGAGGGTCTGTCACTGCACCAACACTCCCAACTTTTTCCTTGAAGTTTGTCATTTCACTGGTGAATCGCCAATTAGGACTAGCCTTATTCTGTACTTTTCTGCAGCCTATCCAACCCAGTCTGGAGAAGCTCCAAACCTTGGAGTTAGGAAATTGGTGGCAATGGTAAAAGTTGACTGCCAGCCCTTTACTCCTCACTCTGCTGCTTCTCCCCAATTCTGAACAGCAGTTTAGCAGTAGCCCAAGCCCCCTCTCTCACCTCTGGCAGCTCTTTTATTTTTAGAGCTCAATTCTCTCTCTCTCTGTACATGCATACAATATTAGGGCTTAGAGTCAAGGCCTAGGTACTGTCCCTCAGCTCAAGGTTGCTGCTCTACCACTTGAGTCACATTTCCAGTTCCTGCTTTTGCTGGTTAATTGGAGATAAGAATCCCACTTTCCTACCCAGGTTGGCTTTGAATCCTAATCCTCAGATCTTAGCCTCCTAATACAAGGGAGCCACTGGTGCCAGGCCTAATGGCTCTTTGGGTTATAGATTGGCAATTTTCTTTTTTTCTTTATTCTTTTTGTGCTGGCCCTAGGGCTTGAATTATTTTTCTTCCCAGGATCTATCCATGCTGGCACAGAAGGAGAATGGCATGGATAGCACAGTTGATCATTGGGCATTGAGTATTGTCCCTGAGCTTTTTGCTCAAGGCTAGTGCTCTACCACTTGAGCCACAGCTCCACTCCCAGTGTTTTGGTTGGTAGTTAATTGAGGATAGGAATCTCCCAGAATTTTCTGCCCAGGCTGCCTTTGAAATGTGATTCTCAAATTTTAGCCTCCTGTGTTATCAGGATTACAGATGTGAATCATGGACACTCAGTGGAAGATTGACCATTTTCTGCTCATTGTTCTTACTGGAAGTCTGAGGCCTTTCAGGTGCCTCCTACCCAGGACCAACAAAATGTTTGTTTATTCATCCCCCAGGCCACACATGAGAGCTGAGTTAGTGCTAGCTTGACCAGTGGAGAGAAAGAGATGCCACTTCAGAGCAGACAATGTCTCTACCACTTTCCCTGTTACTTCCCCCACCACACCCATATTCCAAAGATCAACAAGGGTCAGAGTTCAAATATCTTGGGAAAGGTAGGAGGCAGCAAGAATAGCAAAGGAATCCTGGGGAGAGAAGGAAATTCTTAAGTTGACTGGCACCATTTGTTGCCCTTTGAGTATGGAGTACTTCATAGATCCCACTGCCTGTCCTACCCTGGGGGCTGGAATTGGAATTAGGGACAGACTTTAGTGGTTAGGGAGGGGTATTTGTCTAAGGTTCAGATTAGGACTAGAGTTTGACTTAGACCAAGGGTTAGGAAGAAGGTTGCAGTTAGAGATAGATTTAGAATTCTGGGGTAGAATTAATGGCCCTGCTGACTCTAAACATGACCGTGAATGCACACAGAAGTGTGTCCCATAGGTATTGTCAGCTATGGAATCCTCATGCTGGTACTTTGTGGGAATTTTAAGTTTATTGGTTTGTTTATGGACCATATTTAAGCTTTCTTTTAATTATAGTGGTTTAAACCTTGCTTGTGTTAGATTCTAAGACTCCTGCTTTTTTTTTTTTTGTAGGGTACGGTGGTACTGAGGCTTGAACTCAGGCCTCTTGCTCTTTACCTTGGCTTTTATGCTCAAGGCTGGCACTTCACCACCTTTACTTTTGGCTCTTTGCTGGTTAACTGAAGCTAAGTTTCATAGACTTTTCTGTCCAGGCTAGCTTTGAACGATAAACCTCAAATCAACTTCCTGAGTAGCAAGGATTATAGGTATGAGCTACTAGTGTCTAACACCCACTGCTTCTTTCCTTTCTCCCCACCATTTCTGGGGTCAGAACTAGAATCCTCATCCCCATTGCCTGGATTCTCCTGTGTTCAAGGTTAGGAGCAAGGGTAGCAGTACTATGTAGCAGTACAGTACCTTGTCTTGTTTGGAGGAGTATGTCACCATTGCCAAATTCCTTGACAGATATAAAAGAAGGCCAGTTTCCAGGCCCAATGGCCCTACCTCAGGGCCAACGTCAGTCTTTCTGCTTGATGTTTCTTTTTCTTTTTTTTGGGGGGGGGGTCCAGTCGTGGGGCCTGAACTCTGGGCCTGGGCACTGTCCCTCAGCTCTTCAGCTCAAGGCTAGCGCTCTACCACTTGAGCCACAACGCCACCTCTGGCTTTTTTTTCTTTTTGCTTATGTGGTGCTGAGGAATCGAACCCAGGGCCTCAGGCATGCAAGGCAAGCACTCTACCACTGAGCCATCTTCCCAGCCCTGCTTGGTGTTTCTTATCCTGCTTTTCAGAACATGACCACAAGTATCACTCACTGGTGGCTACTTTCACAACTCTTCCAAGGTAGGAAAAGTAGACTCAGAGTTTGTTTAATCCCATGCACCAAGTGAATGTATGTGTCTTTATCACACAGACAGCTGCTAAAAAATAAGGAAAAGAACCCTGCAGGATCATTTGGCTTCTGACTAGATTCTTCTTTCAGGAATCCTGGATCCTCTCTCAGCAGCCTCGTTAGGGTCATCCAAAGGTCAGAATCTCAGGGACTTCTTACAAGACCAGGAAAACAGCTCCCCAACAATGTACTTACTCTATGTGTTTGAGAGAATAAAACACCCAAACCTGGTAATAAAAGAGTTGAGGAAGAAGCCAGACATTCCTGGCTCACGCCTGTGATTCTAGCTACTCAGAAGGCTGAGATCTGAGGATTGCAGTTCAAAGCCAGCCTGGGTAGGAAAGTCCATTATTATTTCCAGCAAAAAGCCAGAAGTGAAGGTACGGCTCAAGTGGCAGAACACCAGCTTTGAAGGCAAAGAGTTAAGGGACAATACCCAGACCCTGAGCCCCAGCACACACACACACACACAAACAAACAAAAACAAAAAACCAACCAACCAAACATCAAAGTTGGGGGGAGAGGGTCAAGACAAACTAAGCTGTGTTCTGGATTCAAGGAAAAGCTACCAAGTCATTGATAAAAATAGATATTTTATTCTGCAGAGGAAGATAGGACATGGTGGGGGCGAGGAGCCACTAATAGCTACAGTGGAAGGAAATACTGATTCCGGTAGGCAAGGGCATCTTTAAGATACTTGGGCAGGTGGAGGGGTGAGAAAAAAGGTTGGAAGACAAAAGGAGAGAAGACCGAAGAGGGGATGCTTTGGGGTTGAAGGTGGTCTCTGCAAACCAGGCTGGAACCCAGCACAATAAATAGTTTTATTTACAACAACCAAAACTCGTGGCTCTGTTTCCACGTTTCAGTGCAAATTATTTACACACTGATGAGGAGGCAGGACAGGAAGGGGTAGGAGGCAGCAGAGGGAGGCTTGGCTCACAGCTGTTCAATGGCTTCATGATAGAAGCTGGGAGAGAGAATGGAGATTTTTCTGCTGGGTTCCCCATTTTCCACATCATCACAGCTGCCCTTTTCACTCCTGCTTCAGCTACCAGTGGAGAGGAGAAAGGCCTTAATAGGAAGGCGAATGCTCAGGATTTGCACCTCGGCTGGAAATGTAGGGGGGACCGGTAGGGACCCAGAGGAAAGAGGACAAGAGGGAAGGAAAAAGACGCAGAGGTCGCTGGCACAGTGGAGCTGAAGCCCGCCCCCTTCCCCTAGAGGAGAGGGGACAAATCCTTCTCTCACCTCCAGACCAAGTAGGGGCCAGTGCAACAAGGGGGTCTCCCGCGGAGAGGGAGGGAGGTAGGTCAGGGCAGGTCCCTCAGGATGGCAAAGAGGGTTCATGCAGCCCCAGGTGAGTGGTTTGAGGAATCCCCAGGTAAGGAGGAGGTGGGAGAGACAGAATGCCCCGGGGGTGGGCGATTGATCAACCAGGGTCTTGAGTGGTAGCGAGTGTGGACTGGAGGAGAGGACTGGAGGAGAGCGATCTGAGGGTGGGGGTGGGGCAGGGGGACGAGTCCGCGCCACGCATCACAGACACTCGTGCAGTACGCGCGTGTGCGTGCAGTTGCGGCAGCTGACGTGGCAGCACCAGTGAAAGGTGCAGTTGCAGCGCTCGGTGACGCGCTGCGTGCGCGTGCGGTGACCCCGGCCACAGCAAAGGAGCTCGCAGCCGTCCAGCGCTGGCGACGAGCTATTGCAGGCGCGCCCGGCAGTGCCCGCGGTCCCCAGGCGTCCGCTGTACGTGCAGAAGTTGGGCGATTTCTCGAAGTAGACCAGGTCGTGGGGGGAAGGGGGCTTGTGCGCGGGGTCTTCGGGCTCGAGGCGCAGCAGCTCGGCTCTGGAAGCGCGATTGCTGCCTCGGTTGCCGTAAAGGACCCGAGAGGCGCCGTCGAAGCGATCGCGCAACACATCGCCCACGGCGCGCAGCGTGGGCAGCCGCATCCAGCAGGTGCGCACCGTGCACGAGCCGGACATCCCGTGGCATTTGCATTCCTGGCGCATCTCGGAGAAGACGGTCTGGAGGGAGATGGGAAAATCAGTGTCCCCCAAGGCATAGTCAGAGCCAAGAGCCACCATCATCCCAGATACTGCCCCCTTCTGGACGCTGCTGGGACCTCAGCAAAAGCCAAAAGCCCAGACAAGAACCCAGGGCGAGGATGGCGCAAACTGTCCCTTGCAGAGATTTGGGCCCTGGACCAAACTCGGCTCCAAGCCGTCGAGTCAATCTCGGGCCTTACAGCCTAATTTTCAAAATAGTTTGATAGAGGGGGTGGCAGGAAATATATTCTGTGGGTGACATGTCTTGTAACTTCTTTCAACACAGGTATTCTCCCCACCCCACCCATGTGTGTGTGTGTGTGCGCGCGCGCGCGCGCGCGCGCGCATGGGGGGGGCACGCGCGCGCCTGTACTAGGGCTTTGAAGTCAGGGTCTCGTCTTTGTCCTGGAGCCTTTTTTTTTTTTTTTTTTGCTCTGGTTGCCGTCCTTAAGCTGTTTTGCTCAAGACTTGAACCCTGCTACTTGAGCCACAGCTCCACTTCTGGCTTTTTGGTGGTTCAATGGAGGTAAGAAGTCTTAACAGACTTCCCTGCCCAGGCTGGCTTCGAACCGCTATTCTCAGATCTCAGCCTCCTGAATAGCTAGGATTACAGACGTGAAGCCACGGGCACCACCGGGCAACACAGGTATATATCCCTTTGCACTCGATCACTAATGTCTTCTTTTCTCCAGCTCTTCCCAAGCCTCCAGCTCCGTAAGGATACTCTTTCCTAGCGCCCCTATCCGCATTACTGACATTTACTTCGCTGCCACTCCGCTTAGGGTGCGGACAGAGCCATTTAGGCGCCTTACCGTCCGGCCCGCCTCGTTGTTGTGAAGGTTCATGAGAAAGCGCAGGTCCCGCCCCTTCTCGCCCGAGTCCACGAACTCTCGACCGAAGAGGCGGCCGAAGTCGATGTTGTCGCTGCAGCCCCCCCAGTGCCAATCGGGACCCCCGGGGCCACGTCGCCGGTAGTCACACGTGCAAGACTCGATGGAACCCTCAGAGCAGGAGCGCGCCACCGAATGGGTGACTCCCGCTGAGGTGATGGCGAAGATAAACGCGGTTTCCCTACAGCCTGGGGAAATGAAGGAAACCCGAGTTGAGAAGGAGCGAGGGGGGGGGGCGTGCCAGCAACGCCCCTTGCAGGGCTTAGGACCCTGAGGTTGGAGCCCTGAGATCTGGATGGACCGGCAGCGCTGGAAAGCTGCTCTCCGGGTCTCACGGAGAAGGCAGGTGCGTGGGCACGCACCCATGAACTCCGCTTGTAATCACACCTTAGGGAGAAGACTCTTTGGGGGCGATTTTTTGGTCTGTAGAACGGAAGTGGGACAGCAACAGAGGCAAAACGGAAAAGAGGGGAGCGGAAGAAACTCTGCCTTGCCGAGACTTTCGTAGCCCAAAGTATCATGTTGGTGATGCAAACGTGGCTGGGCACCGAAGCAGGACATATGCCCGCAGAAAGCAGATTTCCAGACATCTTTGAGAAAAACCGGGGAAAGGTGACCCCCGTCTCCCAGCATGCACGATCTGGAATTGCCTTTCTCTTGGGGACTGGGGTGGGAGAGGAGTGGCTTTGAAAAGTTAAAGTTTTATGCCCAAAGTGTGTGTCTAAGGGAAAGAAGAAGAAGAAAAAAAACCTGGTAGAAAGTCTGGCCCGGATCTAATGGCTAGGCACGAGGCGCTTGGCAGGTTGATGGTGAAACACTGCGGGCGTGTGGGACATCTTCCCTTGCAACTCGCCCGCCTATGCCCTGGGGGTGACCTTGCGTTTCCCCTAGTCCCGGAAGCGTCGCCTTCCTGGGCACCCACCTCGGTTGACAATCTTGCCGAAGAGGTGGGGCCCCGGAGCCGTGGGGCAGTTCCAGCGGCGGTTCCGGAATTGCCACTTGCACTCGCGCACGGCGCTCTGCAGCCCACCGCTCACGCTGTGCAAGATCCCCGGGTTCTGGCGGATCAGACGCCGCTGCTTCCGGCTTAGCAGCTGCAGACTGGGTTCCAGTACTAGCTGGAGACTCTTGGAGTCCGTCAGCAGGTTCGTGGAGGAGGCTACGTTCACGATGCCCCTAGTAGGACGCAGAATGAAAGTTCAGGCACGGGAAAGGGAACAACACCCTATCCATAAAGGCTATACCTACCCTGTCCTCGGGTGCCTACTCTGGGGTCGGGTGCCGGCAGAGAACGGCGGCAGATCAACAATAAGGTAATGACTAGGTGCTCCTGGGCTTACTAGTTAAAAAGAACTTCACATTCAGCTTTTTGTTTTTGGTTTTTTGTTTTTGTTTTTGTATCCCTAGGGGTCTTAAGGCTGCTCCCAGCAGGGGCGTCCAGCCTCTGTCCAAGAGGCTGGACCCAGGAGGAATGGGGAACCCAGAGACTATGTGTGTATTTTGGCTTTCCCAGCCTACTTCTGGTCAGTCCCTGCGAGGAAATCCTGGCCTATGGTCTTTGCCCACCCAAGGCTTAAAATGCTTAGGAAAACCACCCTCTCCTCAACTCCTTTTGAAGGGAACACAACTTGGATTCCTGACCTGAGAAGACCTGCAGGGCAGCCACAGGCATAAGGCTGGAACTGGGGTTCAAAGTAGATGCGTGATGTTAGATGGGGAGTGAGCTTCCCACTAGAGTTCCCTGGGTCTCAAGGGGGACAAGAGGGGAGGGGGGGTGGCTGGCAGATCATTCACCAACTTTGGCTGAGCTCAAGTCTCTGGGCCAGAGCACCCTGTTTGTGGTGGAGTGAAGTCAGAGAGCCCAGAGAATCTGTGGGCTGAGGGATCCCACAGCGTAGGAGCTGGGGAGGGCTGGCTGGGCGCCCCAGGACAAGTGGCGACCCCGCAACAACTCACTTACCACCATCGGCCACTGCTGTTGGCAGCCAGGGCTGCAGGCAGAGCGGCCAGTGCCAGTAGCAAAGTAGCAGAAACCCAGCTGGGCAGCAGAGCCCAGCGCCCCATGGCCTGTCTGGCCTTGCCGGTTCTGTGTTGCAGTTGTGGCTGGCTTTGGCTGCTGCCCGCGACGGTGGGACCGGACGCGGCGGTGGCGGCAGTGGTGAGAGTTCGCAGTCTGACTCTTAACAACCCTGGAGGCGGGCGGCGGGCAGCATGGTTCGCTGTCCCGGCTGGTGGGCTGAGGCGGCCACAGCGGGCAGCACCGCCTCTTATAGTTGCGGCGCTGGCTGGAATGACGAGAAGAGGCTGCCGGGCCCGCAATGTGGCACCAGGGCGCACTGGTCAGGGGCGCAAGACAATGGGCAGAGAGCGGGGCTGTGGCTCCCGCCCGTCTGAGCAGAGAGGTGACAGGCTGGCCGTCGGGGCTCGCCCCCCCGCCCCCTGCCTGGTGGCCCCCGCCTCCGGGTCTGCACTGGCCGCCGACCCCTCCCCTTGGGGCGCCCTCCCACGCGCGCGCCTGCTTCACTCCTCTTCGTGTCCGGAGCCCCGTCGGGGCCGAGCATCCGCCAGGGGGCGCGGCCACAGTGTGCTTAGGGAGAACCCGCCTGTATAGCCCTAACTGCCTAGATCATATTCGGTGGGGCTGTCCCCTCGACGTCACCCAGCCCCCCCCCACGTCGGTGTCCTTTCTCTCCCCCCACCAATCCTGAATGCTAGAAGGAAAGCTGTGGTTCAGGCCAGCATCTCTGGGGAGACACTTCCCCCGCCCAGGAACCCCCGACGGCTGGACAGAGAAGGAAAAGAGGGATAAAGGGGCATGGGTGGAGTTGTGGTGGGGGATTCCCGGGGGTGGGGTGTCGGGGTGGACCGACCAAATGAAGCTGGCTGGGAAGAGAGACATGGAGTAGCATATGGGTCCAGGACAGCACAAGTGGCTTTGTGTGTGTGTGTGTGTAAAACACACAAATAAGATTATTCATGTGTTCTAAGGGTGCAACTTGCCCTATATTGGTGTTTTCAGAAATTCCGAGTTCTGAGGAGGGAGACTAGGAACTCTTTCCAAAGAGTTTTGGAATTTAGCTCATCAAGAGATCATTGAGTTACTTTGTCACAGTCACTGCCCGGGGCAGTGTGTCAGAAATGAGGGGTGGGGGGGGGTGGCAGCAATGACAGGAGACCCAGAAACTTGTCTGACTCAGAGATGACTCAAGTAAATGAACAATCTATACGGATAACCTGTCCTTTGTCCCCTAGCTATTTCTCCTGGCTAGGGCATGGGTCACACTTAGTAGACTGATACAACCCCACAAGGGTGGAAAAAGTAGGTTTGAAGACAGAGACTGTGGCTACTGGAACTACTCAGCAGTGGGAAGAGAGGAAAGGAGCCAGTGCTCTTTGTTCCAACATCCCAGGAACAATTCCGTGTTCCTCTGTTTCCCAGGGGTATATGTGGGGGCTTAGAAGGGACAGGAACATTATTTATGGCCTATGATTTCGTTTTTAATTTCTTTCCTTCCTCCCTTTATTCCTCCTTCCCTTTTTCTTCCTCCCTCCTTCCCTCCCTTTTCTCCCTCCATCCCTTTTCTTCCTCCTTCCCTCCCTCCCTTCCTTCCTCTCTTCCTCTCTCTCGCTTGCTAGCTTGCTGGGTTTTCTGCCCATATTGGGGCTTGATCTTAGGGCCTCAAGCTTTTGCTCACAGTTGGTACTCTATATCTTGAGCCAACCCTTGAGCCCAGCTTTTTGTTGGTTAATTGTCCATTCTGCCTAGTTGTCTTTGAACCTCAATTCTTCTGATCTAAATTTCCTAAGTATAAGCCTGAGCCACTGGTATCCAGCTTCTTTCTTTCCTTCCTGTTTTCCATTCTGAGGAAATAACCTACGATCTCTTAATTTCCATCCCTTTGAATCATACTATTATACATCCTTATCAAAATCACTATGAACCTTTGTGTGGCCTCTTTTTTGTTGTTGTTGTTCCAGTCCTGGGTCTTGAACTCAAGACTTGAGCATTGTGCCTGAACTTTTGTGCTCAAGGCTGGCCCTCTACCACTTGAGTCACAGCTCATCTTCTGGCTTTATGGAGGGAAGGGGTGTTAATTGGAGATAAGAGTCTCATAGGCTTTCCTATCTGGGCTGGCTTTGAACCACAATCCTCAGATTTCAGCCTGCTGAGTATCTTGGATTATAGGTGTGAGTCACCAGTGGCTAGCAATAGCCAATTCTTAATTCTCATCTTTTTTTTCTTTTTCTTTCTTTCTTCTTTTTTTTTTTTCCAGTCCTGGGACTTGAACTCTGGGCCTGGGCACTGAGCTCCTTTTGCTCAAGTCTAGCACTCTATCACTTTAGCCATAGTGCCTCTTCTGGCTTTTTCTGTGATTAACTGGAGATAAGAATCTCACAGACTTTCCTACCTGGGATGGGTTTGATCTGTGATCCCCAGATCTCAGCCTCCTGAGTGGCTAGGATTACAGGTGTGAGTCACTGATACCTGGCTTCATTCTCATTTTAACCAGCCTTCTATGAGACATTGTTGGATATCCTCTTGCCCCCTACCCCTCCCATGGTAATGGGTTTGAACTCAGGGCCTCATGCTTTCTAGGAAAGCACTGTAACACCTGAACCACTCTACTAGCCCCTTTTTACATTAGTTATTTTCAACATAGAGTCTTATTTTATATTTGGAATAGACTGTGATCTTCTTCTTTCCCAGTGGCTTGGAATGACAGACTGACAGAGTCAGACTTTCCTGAACTTTCTATTTTGTGTCTGGGCTAGGCTAGAACCATGATCTCCCTATCTCCACCTCCCAAATACCTGGCATTACAAGATTGAGCCACCTTGCCTGGCAAGGTACCATGTCTGCCTCACTGGCTGCTCTCCTCCCTGTCTCCTTACCTCAATCCTTTTTTAATTTTTTTGGTCAGTTATGGGGCTTGAGCTCTGGGCTTGGATGCTGCCCCTGAGCTCTTCAGCTCAAAGCTAGCACTCTACCACTAGTGGTTTATTGGAAATGAGTCTCACGGACTTTCCTGCCTGGGCTACCTTTGAACCACAATCCTCAGATCTCAGCCTCCTGAATGGCTAGGATTACAGGCATGAGCCACCAGTGCCTGGCTCAATCCTTTTTGTTTGCCTACTCTCTAAACATTGCAGTACAGTACCTGTGGCTCATGCTTGTAATCCAAGCTACTCAGTAGGCTGAGATTACCATTCAAAGCCAGCTTGGGCAGAAAAATCCCTTGAGACTCATCTCTAATTAACAACCAAAAAGCCAAAAGTGGAGCTGTGGATCAAGATAGAGCACTAGCCTTGAGCACAAAAGTTCAGGGACAGTGCTCAGGCTCTGAGTTCAAGCCCTAGGATGGTACAAAAAAATATTATAGGGGGTGGAGATTTACCTTAGCAGTAGTGCTTGTCTAGCATGCTTGATGCCTTGGGTTCAATCCCAGGCACCACAATAAATAAATACAATAAATAAATATCAGTACATACAGGGTACAGGTCAGTGGTGAAGCACTTGCCTAGCATGTACAATAAACTGAGTTTGTCCTTCTCCCTCTGCCCTTCTGCGCTCCCCCTCGTCCCTCCCCCCATGGCAAAAATAAAGAAATATGTATTCTAGTTTCATCTGATCTTCTCAGTTTACTCAAACTTCCCCAGTAAACTTCGAATCTCATTCTTTCTAGTTTATATCTCTGGCCCTGAACACTGGTCTTACATATCTAATACTTAAACAAGCACCTTAAAATCCCCATCTCCAGGACTGGGAATGTGGCTTAGTGGTAGAGTGGTCGCCTAGCATGCATGAAGCCCTTGGTTGGATTCCTCAGTACCACACAAACAGAAAAAGGCAGAAGTGGTGTTGTGGCTCAAGCAGTAGAGTGCCAACCTTGGGCAAATGAAGCTCAGGGACAGTGCCCAGGCCCTGAGTTCAAGCCCCAGCACTGGCAAAAAAAAAATAATAATCCCCATATCCAAAACTGAACTCCTCCACTGGCTTTCTTCAGTCATTCCATCTCAGTAAATGGCAAGTCTATTCTTTCAGTTGCTCAGATAAAAACATTTGGAATTGTCCTTGAAGAATCTGTTTCATACTCTATGTTGAACTAACAGCAAACCCTACCTCGATCTTGTTGAACTAACAGCAAACCCTACCTCGGTCTTTTTATTTTGGTACCAGTCCTGGGGCTTGATTGACACTTTGAGCCACATCTCCATTTCTGGCTTTTTTGGGGAGGTAGTTAATTGGAGATAAGAGTCTCATAGATTTTCTTCTCCAGGCTGACTATAAAACTCAATCCTTAGATCTCAGCCTCCTTAGGAGCTAAGATTTCACGTATGAGCCACCTGCACCCAGCCCTGCCTTTAACAAATGCAGAGCCAAATGCTGGTGGCTCATGCCCATAATCCTAGCTTCTCATAAGGCTGAGATCTGAGGATCCAGTTTCATAGTCAGCACAGACAGGCAAATCCAAGAGACTCATATCTCCAATTAACCAGCAACAAGCTGAAAGTGCAGCTGTGTCTCAAGTGGTAGAACACCAACCTTGAGTTAAAAAGCTAGGAGACAGTATGAAGCCCTGAATTCAAGCCCCACTACTAGCACAAAAAATAAGACAAAATATATTTAGCGTCTGAACCATCCTTCCCATTCTAATGCTAATTACTGGCTAATACTTCCAATGCTACATACATATTGCCTCCTGTCTGACTTCCTGCAATAGTATCCTAACAACTCTCTGCTTCTGCCCTTGCCCCTTATACCTATTCCCCATATCATAACCAGTGTGTGTGTGTGTGTGTGTGCGCGCGCGCGCGTACTCGTGTGTGCATGCTCTTGGGGCTTGAATACAGGGCTTGGGTAGTGTCCCTGAGCTTTTTAAAATCAGCAGTAGCACTCTACTCTTCAGCCACAGTTTTACATCCAGCTTTTTGTGGTTAATTGGAAATAGAAGTCTCACAGACTTTCCTGCCCAGGCTGGTTTCAAATATGGATCATCATGTCTCAACCTCCATAGTAGCTAGGATTATAGGTGTGAGCCACTGGCACCTAGCTGGGTCATCTATTCATTCTGCTCAAAATATCCCAATGATTCCTCATATTACTCACAAACCAAAATCTTGACAGTGGGCAGAGTAAAGATGACCCAAATGGCCACTAAGCATTTTCCTTTCTAGTCCTCCAACTTCATTGTCTACAACCCTTCCTTTGTAGATTTCTCCCTGTACCTTCACTCATCTCCTTGCTCATTACTTAAACATATCAGTCACATTTCTTTCTCAATGTCTGTGCACCTGTTTTTTCTGTCTTTGGGAAAGTCTTTCCTCAGATATCTTCATGCCTTTGCTCCTTCATCCTCTTCACTTACCCTTTATAAAACA